GTTACGGTTACGTTGTTACGTTACGTTTACGTTTACGTTACGTTACTTACTTACTTACTTACTACTACTACTACTACTACTACAACGAACGAACGAAGAAGAGAGAGAGAGAGAGAGAGAGAGAGAGAGAGGATTGACCATTTCTTGATTGAAAGCTGCTAATTATATTCTCAGGCATAAATATAGCCATGGAATTCCCCAAGGATCCATTGGTTGCTGATAAGCTTACAAGATCATGCAAAACTTTTCAGACCAAGGGATACAAAGCACAATAGGGTCCATTGAAGAAAGAAAAACATTATTCCAAGTGATATGGTTTTACTGTGCAGAAAATATTTCTCCATTTACTAAAAAAACAATCACAGAAGTAATTTTTAATATTTGCACTATGAAATGTTGAACCTCATTTCGGTTGCATGTGTACAGCAGATCTTAAAGGGAAGACTATATGCAACTGGATCAGGAGCCATCGGGATTGATGGACTGTAAAATGTTGAACCTCATTTCAGTTGCATGTGTACAGAAGATCTTAAAGGGAAGACAATATGCAACTGGATCAGAAGTCATCAGGACAATCCCCAAGTCAAAAAAGGAGATATTATAAGGGTCAAATAAGCACCATGATGAAATGTCGAATGTGGTGGAAAAGGCTGGTTTCTGGAAAGGCTTGAAAGTTTCACTTCCACATCACAAACATGTCTCATATTCTTGTCAACAATCACAATATTACAATCATGGGCCAGGATTCATCATGAAACAGGCTCTCCAAAAAATTTATACTCTTAGATGAAGAATTTAAGTTTAAGCGCTTAATGGATATTTCCTTTTTTGGATAAATAAAGCACTTTCTTGGGATTGAAAGTGCCTGATCTAAGAAGAATCATATTAACACAATTTCGTATGCAGTCATCTTTCGTATGCAGTCGTCTACTTCTCAGCATATTATTGGATACCAGGATAGAGGCTGGGCCAGATGTCAAGATTCGGAATCTAATATGCGATTATATGTCAATGAAACATAATTAAATCTACTTTAAAAGAAAGAAAGACAAATGGAGTCTAGGCTTAGTCCAGATGTAAAATGTATGACCGCCAATAGAGCTGCAGCCAAAATTTCGAGTAAATGCATTATCACGTAATGTTGTGCTTCACTGAACCAAAGTGCTAGAAAGCATTCCAGGAAGAGCACTCAATTCACCTGAAGCTCTTTGTTTAACCTTTCCAAGTACTCCTCTGTGGTGGTTCCAGACTGCAAGATAAGCCAGCAATGAATCTTCTTCAGAACAAGAAATGTATGATACAACCATAATACCCAAACCAATGTTTGAAAAATCGCTGATCCGGATCGAAATCGACCGATCCAAATCGGGAATCGTCCTGACTCTTCCAGATCCCGTAATATATCGGATCCAGCCCTGTCCCCCACAGAACCAGCTAGTTCAACCCAGTCTGTACCCGTTATCTGATAGAACTGGCCAGTTCTGATAGAGAACCAATAAGAACCGGCTCCCACTTTCTAATTTTTTTTATTTTTTAATTATTAAACCAGCAAGTTTTTAACTTCGCTTAGATTATTTTTTTTCATAAATTTTTTAATTTAAAAAAAAAAAAGTGGCAGGTGGCCCACCCCACTTTTCACATTGGGCAGTCGCGAGCCCCAAGGCATGCCATATCGCCCGTGCTTCCCCCTGATTTATACCTGCGTACCCTCCCCATTTATCTCCACATTTTAGATGTGGGACTGAAAGTTCCCCATGTGTTTTGGCATGCAAACCCCCGCAATAAATGTCCTGGAAAGCATATTATAAATGGCCTTTCTATCTATCAATGGCCCACGAAAAATTTGGTCGTTGCAGCTTATAAAAATAGCATTTTATATGTCATATTTTTAAAAACTAAAAATTAATTGTTCAACTGTTGATCAATAGCATCAAGGTTTTAAAAATAGAACACATGTTTTAAAAATAGTATTACAAATGTTTTTCACGATTGGAAACTATAGCATCAAGGTTTTCAAAATAACTTCAATGCATGCTTTGAAATTTAAAAAAAAATATAGCATACATTTCAAGCCAAAGAGTTACGACATAGTGGCCCGATATAGTTCTATTTTTATGGCAACATATCGCCATATAGCATTCCCATTCAACCAACCAAATTTGGTTCAGCATTAATCTCTATTTCAATAGCATACATAATTTAGGGACAATAGCTCGCCAGTGATCAAATTCTCCCAAGTTCAAAAAACAAATAAAACAATTAAGAAATAAATAGAAAAAGTTTGCTCCAAATCAAGGGGGAAACAAAGACCAAAGAGGCTAGACTTTTTGCTACCATATCATTCTTTCAAAATTCAAATGGCATATACCCACCTCAAAATATCAATTTTTCTTTATCACATTACAAACAACATCAAATGCATGAAAATCGAGATCATAAGAGCTTTGACCCACCTCAAAATGAACATTTCCTCCCTCATCATCTCTAGAAAACAGAGAGAGAAAAGTCTCATGAAATGATGAGCAGAAACACAACTGGAATGTGATCAATAGACATTCAAGCAGAAGACAGCATCTCAATATTCACGTATTTTTGCAAAATAATAAAAATTGATAATGCATACTCCCATTTTTTTCTTAAAAACTCAAATGACAATATTTATAATAAGTTTTAGTAACTTTTTGAAATTTTTTAAGGCCGGATCTGGCCATTCTCCGATTTTGATCTCCAAGCCGTAGGGGTGACAACGGGTTGAGTCTAGCTAGACACGAACCCGAACTCGAATGGAATTCGAGTCCAGATTTTGGTCCCAGACCCGACCTTTTGGGTCCAAATTTTCGACCCACACCCAAACCCGAGGCCTGGTCTAACCGTCAGGTCCTAGGTATGGTCAGGTCCATTGCCACCCTATGACTATGAGCTGCTTTTTTTTTTGCCCTTTTTTTTACCATCATATACCCATATTATTGGCAACATTTACAATATTGCACAACATCTATGAATACTCGTATGTACCCACATCTCTTACTGTTTTACATAATAATAGGAAATTCCTAAGAAACAAACGTATTGGCAACATTTATGAATACCCACATATACCCATATAATTCGGGTCAATTCTCGCTGGACTCGAATAGTATTCAAGTCTAGAGTTTGGACCCGGACCCGACCTTTCAAGTCCAAAATTTGAACCCATACCCGGAAGGTCGGGTCTACCCATCGGGTCCCGGGTCTGGTCGGGTCCATTGCCACGCCTACCGATCCGACCCGGTTTTCCGAATGGTTTTCCGAATGGACACTGATCCTTTTGTTAAAATGTTAGCCCAAACCATTTCATGCAATAGCTACGAATTGACTAAATGAGCATGTTGTTAATGAATTACCTGCAGTTCAACCTTTTGATCAATGAATCTCCTGGCCTCAAAATCCTAAAATAGAATTGCAAATGCTTAAAAAGGATCTTTTTGAATTTAAAGTGAAAAAGGGCACATTCACAAAAGACAAAAGACAGACACAATTCATAAACAACAAGAAGCACCAAGCAGCATAAAATATTTCGTTCATCGACCCCAAAAAGCAATAAGAAAAGAAACTAAGAGTGATGGGAAATGATAAAAATCGAAACTCACATGGGGGTAAATGTTCCTGTTGTACATATCGAAAAATATAAACTCTTCCTGTTAGCAAGAAATTGCCCTTCATATTACAAAAGAACTTCTGCATGCAAATGCAAGAAACATATCCAACAAACTATGAAAGTTAAAGAATGTACAAACACAAGATAAGAGGCAAGGGCCCACCATCATTAGCAAAGTCCCACTCATGGCCATTCCCTTGATGTGCATCAAGATCAATAATCATGACCCTGCACAAGATTGAAGAGAATACAAAAACATAAATGAAAGATTTCCAGTAATATAATTTTCAGGTAGTACAATCTAAAGACACACAAGTAAATGTGTATGATACAAACCCCATCTCAAAATTTTCAAGCAGCAAGCTACCTACCGTGAAACACCTAAACGTGTAAATGCAAATTCAACGCAGAGAGTTATATCTGCATATGCACAAAATCCGCCACCTTTATCTGATGAACAGTGATGAAAACCACCACCAACATTAATGGCCCAACCCCTTTCTAATGCAAGCTTTCCTGCCAAGATTGTACCACCCACCTGTACTAGTTTAGGTTCAGTATAGCAGCATTTGCATCAAAATGGGAATTTGATAAAATGAATTACAGCCAACAACCTGACTGCGGAATGGTTTAAGTACTTTCATCTGCAGAATACAATTAGGAAAGACTGCAACCGGAGGAACCTGTAAAAATTCAAAAGGACATTAGTAGCTTTTGAGAAATGAGTCAACAAGATCTGCAGGAAATAGACATCTTTATGATGATATTCAAAATGAAACTTTCCATGCATGTAGAAAACATGAAATATTAATTGAAAGAAAATATAGAAAAAATTAAATGAACTAGGGGTCCTGGCACATCACCCAGACCTAGCCACCCATTCTAGGTACTGGGTAGGGGCCCAATGCCTAGCCCTGGGCGGGCACCCAAGGATTGTGCCCGCCTAAGCGTGGAAATGCCCCTATGGAGGGGCATTTAGTCCTTTTCCCCCCTAAATAGTGAGGAAAGGTTGGAGGGGGGGGGAGGTTGGGTGGGGTTTAAGTTGTTTTGTGACCTAAACCCCTTTATTTACCTTTTAGAGGGAAAAAAAAATTAGAAAAAAGCTGCACTTTGCATTTTTGTATGATCGATCGAGTAATTCAAAGTCTTGAAAAATCAATCCAAACATTATCCTTTTGGTTTAGATTTGATTTTGTTGATTTTAGAACCATATTAGAGGGTTTTGAGATTGGACAACATCTTGAAGGTGGAAAGATTGAAGATCAAGCAATCTAGGTTAGTGAAAAGACTTTGTATTTGAGATTGCTTTCGTTATTTCAAAATGTCTTCTTTGAGTTCTACTAGAAGTGGCAATCTCGGTTGGAAATACGGTTATAAACCGAATCCTCAAGATAAAAATTGCATTAGATGTAATAATTGTGAAAGAGATACCAATGGAGGTATAAACCGACTCAAGCAACATCTTGTCGATATTAGGGGGGATGTTGCCCTTGTAAAACGATTCCGATGAGATTAAGGAGGAGATTAGATATTATATGAATTGAGTAAAAAGGAAAAAAGACGAAAAGAGGCATGCACAGTAGATTTATGAGTTAGGGTTCATGTTTTTTATGATGATGAGAGTGATGAGGGGGGTGATGAGGTGAAGCAGCTTGATTTGTCCCAATCTAATAAAGGTAAGGGGGTTGTAATTGGATCTGGGGACCTAAGAGATCTCGGGTTAGGGGGCCTATGGACACTTTTCTTACCCAGCCTGGCCCTGAGGTTGCAGTTGAGAAAACCAAGAAGCAAACCATTGAGAATAGAATCAAGGAGGAGTGAGAGGGAACTGCTTAGTATATTGCTAGGTGATTTTATGAGGTAAGCATTCTTTTCAAAGCAGCAGGCCTACGGAACTTTTATACCTTGGTGGAGACAATTGGCCAATTTGGGCCTAGGTTAAAGCCCCCAACCCATATGAGTTTTCCAAGCCTCTTTTGAAAAAAAGAGGTGTGGATCATGAGGGAGATTGTGGGCTCGCAGATGGACTCAAGGGCTCAGTGTGGGGGTCTATTATGACTGGCACCTGAAGTAACAAGAAGAGAAGAAGTTAATGAATTATTGGTGGCTAGCCCTAGGGACTTTTTTTTTAGGCCTATTGATGCCTATCATGATAACCATATGCCACACACATTTTTAATGTGTTTGAGAAGGGCATCAAGGAGGTTGCAGAGCAACATGTTATTCAGGTTGTTCACATGTAATGTTGCTCTTAATGTTATTGCCTCTAATTTGGTGCGCATGAGCTACCGTCATATCTTTTGGACACCATGCGCAGCATATTGCATAGACCTCATCAATGTTTCAAAAAGTGCTAGGCGACCAGGGGGGTCCAGGCTGCCCAGCACCTGAGCAGCCTAGTAGAAAGAAACATGTCTCTATAGTCTAACTGTATAAGTATAATTGTATAACGCTAACTTTGTTTGCTCGATCTCCAAAATTCCACCTCTAAGATGTTTTTAAAGACTCAAAATTTTCTAATAAACCCTTTAATAGATTTATAAAACATCGAAAACTAAATCTAATATCAATAGGTGATGCTTAAATCAATTTTTGGTAACTTTGAGAAACCCTTCCATCCTATGGAAATCACCGAAAACTAGTTTCTTGGGGTTTTTTCTCTCTAAAATAGGCTCTAATGGATTTTAGGTTTCAAATGAACTTAAAACCCACAATTATGCCCCTTTAATATTAAAAAAATGACCAAAAAATGCCCTCAACAAGAGCCATTTCCTCCCTTGGGTGGGGCGCAAGCCTTGGGTGGCCGCCCAGGGCTGGGTGCTGAGCCCCCGCCTAGGCGGGTTCCCAGGTACCCAGGCAAATCCCATCTAATTTGGCCGCCTAGGCCTGGGCGACGCACCCAAGCCTTCTGGACCGCCTAAGCGGCGGCCCAAGCGCTGGGCAATCCGCTTTTTAAATCACTAGACCTCATGCTTGAGCTTATTGGCAGGACGAGCGAGATTGCAGACAATTAAGAAGGCTAAGTCAGTTACATCATTCATCTATAGCCACACCCTCATCCTCACCCTCACCCTCAGTATAATGTTTACAAAGAAGAAGGAGATAATGAGGCCGGTGGTCATGAGATTCGCTACCTGGTTCCTATGTCTAAATAGTATACATTCGAGGGGAGTCCAGTAGAGACCGATGTACACATCTGATGATTGGAGAGCACAAAAGTCAGGAAGAAAATAAGAGATTGTGAACTATCTAAGGCTTTTTGGCGAGAGGTGACGGGCGCTCCTAAAGTATTTTTTTCCTCTCAACAAAGTCCTCCACATGGTTGACAGTGGCAAGTCCACCATGGGCTTCATATACCAGGCAATGGAAAGTTGCTAGTAAGAGAGAGCCTGTAATTTGGATAATGATGAGAGCTGCTATGAGCTAGTTTCGAAGTTTATTCCCAAGAAGTGGGATGGGCAACTACACCACCATTGCTTGCGACTGGCAACTTTTTGAACCCCCAGCTTTTCTTTATGCTAATAGGGATATACAGACAAATGAAACAATTATGATTGGATTTAATAAGTATCAGGATGTTCTAGTCCCTAATCAGAAAATCCAAGACATTATATACATTGATGAACTAATAAATTATAGGGAAATATCCTTGTACCCCATAATTTTGGTTTTCATATCTCAATAGACCCAAAGATTCAAAATATATCTCCTAACCCCCTGACTAACTTTACTCACTTTTAACTATTTTTTTAACCCTAACAAATATAAAAAATACATGCTCATTCTAAACCCTTCCTCTCTTTATGTGACATATTCCCCTCAAATTTCTCTCTCTCTAACATTCACCCTCTTTATCTCTCTAATGGGGGAGACAGAGAGTGAGAGACACGGGGGGAAAAAGAGTGGAAAAATAGGTAGAGAGAGATTTAAGGAAAAATCACGTGAAGAGAGCGAAATGATGGTGTTTAGAAAGGATTTGTCTTTCTTATATTTGCTTGGGGAAAAAAATAGGTTTAAAGGGGATAAAGTTAGCTTAGGGGGTTAAAACATATAAAACTTAAAATTTTTATGACCCAAGATATGTTTTGAAACCTTGAGTCTATTGAGATATAAAACTTAAAAATAGGGGGTATGGAGATATTTTCCCTAAATTATAACTGCACATTGGACCAAAGTTCATTTAGGTAATAATGTACTTAACCCAGCCCTCAAGTTCAAGTTTTATGCTTGTTTGTTTTTTATATTTCATATAAAACCGCAATTCATAATCAATTTGCAACCAATTGGTGGAGCCAGCATGGGTGTAGTACTCCAAACTTACAAAAAATGGCCATTTGGATCTTGAGCCTAACCACTACCTCGTCCGGCTGTGCCCGGAACTAGAGTACTTTTGAGATGGTATGTTTGTTACTAACTTACCATGCTACTTAAGTTTAATTTAAAAAATTAAATTATTTTATAAGTTTATAGTTTATAAATTGGTATTAGTAATTACTGATTACTATGTAAATTGTAATATTAATTAGTTTAATTTTATTGTGCATTTTCAATTTTTCATATAGGTTCATACAAAGAAAAGAAACAAGCATAAATCAAAGAAGCTAAATGACTTAGTTTATGTATAGTTCAATTGACTCTTGGAGGAAAGATTTGCTAAGCGAGAAAAAAGAAACCCCCTTAGAATAAAATACATGGAGTGCAACGGAATGGTTGGTTGATATGATGAGGTCAAGGGGCATGACGGATTGACATGGGATATGATTATGGTGGCCTCAGGTTCAACGGCCAACCCTCCAAGGGCCACTAGATCATCTTTACAGAAAACAAGGAGGGCAAATGAAGGGGAGGAAGGAGAAGCAGATTCAAAAGAAACAAAGGGGGATGAGCATTATGTTGAGAAGGGAGATGAATCCGATAATGATGGGCTTGATTCCAATGCTTGAGCTGACCCTACTTTTTCTGATGTTGACTGAAGACTCTTTTGAGTCTTCGAGTCTTTATTTCTTTCCCTTTTCTAGTCCTTATGTGCATGGCCTATGGAATATGGAGTATATGATCTGTGGACTATGTATAGTCCTGAATTTGAATGTTGAATTATAGTTTCCTATCTTTCTTAATGTGTTATTAATTAATTGTCCAAATCTCAAATACTTTGGACCCCAATATACATTTTTTTACTTAGTGTATGTAATATGGACTAATGGTATGGAATGTATGGACTATGTTTTATGCATTCTTAATGTATTATGTATGCCTCAATATGCATTTTTTACACAGAATTTGGACCTAAAATAGTTGTATTACACCTACCCCTGTTCCTTGACCAAGGCGCCTAGGCAGTGGGCGACCAAGACTACCCAGCATTTTTTGGAACATTGCAACTGATAATCCCAAGCTTGTTTTCTCAGTTATGTCTAACAGATTAGTGTGGCTAACCAGATTGCCTGCAAAAATAAATTGCATCCAGAACCAAGGCTCAAGATAATTTCAACATGATAGACATTATTTTTGGCCAGATCCCTAAACCATACCATATTCCCAAGATACATGATACATCCACAGGGGCAGATGGGAATACAGGAGGCATCAAAATGATTGACTTGTCACCCATTTCTTTGAGAAATGTCCATTGGAAGACCTTTTTTTAAGAATGTTAACATTGTATTACTTATCAGTAACAATT